TTAATTCCCCCAGAACTTTATTCTGTCACCTTTCTCTTCCCCCTCCATCCCACCTCTTTCTCTCGCACACAGTTTTTGGCTCCAGCTCTCCCTCTTTTTCTGAACTCAACTAGCAAGTCCTGCCCCTTCCTTCCAGTTTCCCCACTCACTGGGCCAAACCAATAATTCATTGGGGTTATACTCACACAATTCAGGGATGCCTAAATAGGCCTCTAATTTGTTATGGTTGCATTTTTACTACTAGAGGTAAGGAGACCTCCTTGTGAGATTCTTTGCCTCCCGTGCCAATATTACTTTCCCGACTTTGGATACGAAACACATTGACTTAAGACGGGCCTCCCCCAATTTGTTGCTTTGCCTCAAGCAGCAAAATATTTTTGGCATTTAGGTCTTCATGAGTGAGTGAGTGAGCAAGTGATATTATTTTAGTCTCCTGCCTCCCATTTTACAAGTGGCCTGCGAGGGCAGTCCACAGTGATAACTAAAACAATGAAATCACAAGAAATCGCAATGCAGTCATGAAAACAAATTGGAAGGAGAGGGAGGCTTGCAACAAGAGCTGAAAATGGAATAAATGAAAAAGCTTGGCTAAGCAAAGGGATGTTTTCCTAGTGCTGTAGAGTCCTGCAGCTGGCAAGCTTCTTTGGGAAGTGTATTTCAGAACTAGGGAATAGCCACCTTAAATACAATTAAAATATACCTGAACCTCCCAGCCTGAAAGGAATCTTGACCTTGTGTTTTTTGCAGATCCCTCCAAACAGGATTCTGCAATGAAAATGGTGCTCCTTTAATCAATGGCTGGGTACTCCAATCAATAATAAATAATCTTGTTTTACCAATCATTAATGGGCCAAGTTTTTTTTTACATAGGTTTAGTGACAAAAAAAGAAAGCCCACAAACATGCAGGTGGGATGCCATACCTTCAACATTTCATGGGTAGAAACTGGGATATGTGTGGCCAAGTGACATGAGAGTATGGTCAAGGTGGCAAATGTTTTTAGTGAGGAAGAACTTACAAGCCAGGAGTTTGTTTTTGCCTGAGGCTACTGGTAAGGGTGAGACTCCATCTCCTCTTCCTACCGTTGAGTTTCTTGAAGATTATTCAAGACTGTGCCTGCTGTATCAGGACAACTGGAGGATATGGGATTCTGGGAGTTGTATTCAAAAAAGTAACTTCTTTATGCTTGGATAGAAGGCACAGCAATAATAAATAGAGTAATTAATAATTTGCAATCTACTCAGGACACTTATGACTGGAGACCAGGGCCCAGTTCCCAGCTTGGTCATGAAACCCACTGAGTGACCTTGGTCAAGTCACATTCTCTCAACCTCAGGGGAAAGCAATGGCAAACCTCATCTGAACAAATCTTGCCAAGAAGCCCCCATGATAGATTCATCTTAGGGTCACCATAAATCGGTAATGACTTGAAGGCACACAATAACAAGAACAACATCATCCCAGGATGACCAGCCTTGACTACATGCCTCAGCTCACAGCCTCCTACTCCATCCAAGAGTACCATTCTAAAGGCTGTTTTTACTTTTGTGAGCTTTCTGCACACCTAAAGAATCACCTGGTTCCCTAGGAACCTGCTTGAACACTGAGATCATCTTCAGATGCTCTTCCCTGAATTTCCTTATCTTCTGAGCACAGAATAGATGATCCACATCTTAACATGTAGAGGGCAAGATATTTTGAAAAATAGTGGTTGGAATGGAGTATATGTTCTGAGTTTATTTAGGTTGACCTGGAAAGTAATTTTGAAGAATAAAGATGAATATAAGAACATGCTAAAGTGATCCATAACTGAGCAGTGGTCAAAGTAATGAGTAACATGTTCTATTCCCTCAATTACTTTCTAATGGCAATTTAAAGGCCTTTTGTGAGGTTGTCAAGTTTTATACCATCTTTTATCAACATTTTCTCCCCCCTCAAAGTCATGCTCCATTATCATCTTTTCTTTTATTTATAGGATTTTAATCTTAGCCTTCTTCCAAATGTTGAACTCAAGACAGTGCACTGTAATAGCCGGTAAAGGTTGAGCCTCCCTTATCTGAAATGCTTGGGACCTGATGTTTTGGATATTGGGGTTTTCTGTTTTTTTGGGGGGGATTTTGGAATACATGTATTTGCATATTAATACATATTACAAGATTTTGGAGATGAGACTCAAGTTTAAATACAAAATTAATGTATGTTTCATTCATGTGTATACACTTATACAGTATTTTAAAAATAATTTTGTGCATGAAACAAAGTTTGTGTACATTGAACCATCAAAAAACAAAAGTGTCACTATCTCAGCTACACATGGAAAAGTTTTGGTTTTTGGAGTATTTTGGATTTTGGAATTCTCAAGCTGTAAAAAATATACAATTAAAACACAAAGCAGATTGGTGTTGTTGTCTGAGTGTTGGACTCTGGAGTACTAGATTCAAATCCAGCTCTTCCAGAGAAACCCACAGGGTGATCTTAGACAGGTCATACTCTCTCAGTATCAGAGGGAGGCAAAGGCAACTCCCCCCCCCCACAAAGCTTGCAAAGAAAACCCCATGATAGATTCACCATAGGGTCACCATAAGTTGGAAATGACTGGAAGGCACACAACAACAACAAAGCAGATCAACTTTTAAAACTACATTAAATTAAAAGCATGCTTTAAAATATAATTTATCATTAAGGAAAGAGCAACCAGATGAAGCTGGTGGTTTCTACATTCGCAGGCTAGTGGTGAATTCACTCTTGAGTTTGAATCTGAACTATAAAGAATGTATCCAAAATGTAGATTCCTACACCTCAGATAGGGTCTGGGTCAAAGGGTGCGTCTACACTGTAGAAATAATGTCATTTGACATCAGTTTAACTGCCTTGGCTCCATCCTACAGAATCCTAGGATTTGTAGTTTGGTGAGGCATCAGACCTCTTTAGCAGAGAAGGATAAAGATCTTATAAAACTACAAATCCCAGGATTCCATAGGATGGAGCCACATCACATGAAGCAGTGTCAAACTGTGTTGTTTCTACAGCTTAGATGCACCCAAAGGCATCTTTTTAAAACTGAAGTTTTAAAAAACAGAGTAGATTTATGCAACCACCCCCATTAATATGTGTTGCCACCATTAATTGATGTGTATAATGCACACATATACCTGAATCAAAGTCATTTCTACTTATCAATGGAAGCCAACCAAATTATTTTGGCACCTAAGATCTACACACCTGTATCCCACATAATAATATTTCAAGGGTAATAAATTCTAACCATTTCCTATATTTTCATGACATCAAAACTACTGCCCGGGGCAGCAACCTCACTACCTAATGGTAGGGCCAGACACGCAGCCAGAGGCTGGTGATAAAGACAGATGTTAAAAGCAGAGGTGATTATGTTTTGTTAGGTGTCCTGTTATGTTTAGAAAGAACCATTGTTTTCTTTATCAATATGACCTCTTGTCCCAGATGGTTGCTAAAAGTTCTCTTATTTCTGGACACATTCAAAATACTTTTCTGTCAGCCATTTTAAGTTCCCAAAGTTGCAAAGACTATTTTTTTATGAGGTCACTCTTCAGGATTTGTGTATGTGTTTTGTGTGCCTTCCAATCATTTCTGACTTATGGCAACCCCTAAGGTGAACCCATCATGGGATTTTCTTGGCAGGATTTATTCAAAGGAGGTGTGCCATTGTCTTTCCCTGAGGCTGAGAGTGTGTGACTTGCCCAAGGTCACCCAGTGGGTTTTATGGCTGAGCAGGCAATTGAACCCTCCTCTCTAGAGTCATAGTCCAATGCTCAAACCATTACACCGCACTGGATTTCATCTCTGCAGGATTATGGGAAATTAAATGTTTATGTGCCACTGCCAGGAAACCCACAGCAGAGACACAGCTTGAGAAAGCAACAATTCAACCCTCTACTCTAAAGATAGTCCCTTGTTGAGGACAGGCTTCACCATCCTGCATCAGCAATGGCATTAAGACAACATTGCTACTATTCCCTCCAACTGTATCAAATTGACAGGGGCAGTCCTGATTAACCCTGTGTCATCCCACTTTTCCATCTGTTTCTAAAATAGTTCTCTCTCCTCCTTTCTCTTTTTTCCCCTTTTGTCCCAAACTTGCTTCAATTGCTGTAAGCTGAGTTTAGAGATCAAAAGTTGGTTACACTCAGTTAATCCATCAGGGAAAAGAGGGAACAGAATCTTGCCCTTCCCAGTAGGCTCAGGGAAAAACAAACCGCTGCCACCTCTCCTAGCTTGTATGTTCTTGCCGCCTTGACCACACTTGGATGTTGCTTTGTTACACATGTCTTGGTTTTCATCTGTGAAATGTTAAAAGTTATGCACCACAATTTGAGAACCAATGGGGTGCAGTGGCATCACTAAGAGGGTGCTGGGTGATGCAGACTGCATCAGGTGACACCCTAAGAGGGGGGTGACATCACTGCTCCTGAAACATCTGCGTTTTGGCAGAAACGGACTGTGGCATTTGCCTGTGTCTCTTTAAAAGTGCTGAAAAGATGGGGCGAGTGGGGTGAAGGTCAGTGGAAGGAGAAAGGAGAGATTTTTTAAAAAATCAAATTTCAAAATTCTTAATTTAAAAAAATTAAAATCATTTTTTAGTTTTTTAAAAAAACATCACATGTTATCAAATTTCCACTTTAACCACATGAAACTATGTATATGTAAATACTGTATATTTATTCTGTATGCAACTGTGCACATCCGGAGATATATGGGAATTGCGATTTATGGCCAACATTAGTACAAAAAATATTACTAAAGATTCTGTATGGGATGGGATGGGAGGAGGACAATAGGAGGGTGACACCATAAGTTACCACACCAGGTGACACCAACACTATTGATGCCACTAGTGGGGCATAGTGGTTTGAGTGCTGGACTATGACTCTGGAGACCAGTGTTCGAATCCCTGCTCAGTGATGGAAACCCAGTGGGTGACCTTGGGCGCATCACACTCTCTCAGCCTCAGAGGGTGGCAATGGCAAACCCTGTCTGAAGAAACCTGCTATGAAAAACCCATGATAGATCCACCTTAGGGTTGCCATAGGTCAGAAATGACTTGAAGGCACACAACAGCAACAAATGCACCACTTTCATGCTGTCTTTCAATGGTAGAATTCAAAGATATGGTCGTGTTAGTCTGTAGAATCAGCATGTAGAGAGATCATGTAGCATCTTTGAAACTAAATGAAATAAAGAAGTTGCTTTTCAGTGGCAGACTGCCTCTAAATGGAGAGACCCCATTGAGCCATCAGATTTGTGAGGTTGCCACCTGAGATTCTTGCTAAGTGGGCTTGCAGAAGAGCAAAACTTTGGGGGTTCCTTCACCCTTGGCGGGTCAGAACTTCTCATGGGAAAAGGGCACTGGGGAAAAAAGACTATTTAAGTACAGAACAGAAGCTACAGTGCTAAATATGGAGCCTACAACCCCCATCCTACTTCAATCCCCCGCCCCCAAGCTGTTTCACTCTGATGAATGAGGCTTTGAACATCCCTATGAATACAGCATGGAAGAAGAGGCATATTGCTTTTCACCCTGGGGGGATTTCCCCTATCAAGAGCTTTTCTTTTCCAATTTTTTTCCTAGACAAGAAGGGGTGAGGACAAAGCCTAGCCTTGCTTCTGCTTAAGGCCAAGATGAAAATGCTCTCTTTGCCTGTCATTGTCTGCCTGTTCCCATCCCTGCTCAGTTTACCATCCCCAGTATCAGGTACCATGGCTCAAAAGGGACCTTCAGCATTTCAGAGCAGGGATCAGCAAAGGCTGTTTTGTTACTCTTCTACTTTGAATATAAGAAAAGAGAGGGAGAGCTTAGTGTTTCCTATATTTTATTGTAAGGATGAACTTTGTTGGGACAATTTTAAAAACAAAACCCTGCTTAGGTTGTTTCTATATTTATCTTTTCTTTTTCTTTTGTATCGTACCTTTTCTCTCAAAAACGTGGAACTCAACGCATCTGACAGTCAAATTGGTTAATTAAGAATGATTAAGACACAAAACTGCTTAATTAAAACATAGTGGCCAATTGTTGGTCCCAGCTAGAAGACACCTACTAAATCGATGGGAACTTGGTAAATCAACACATTTATTTAACAGTTTTATTCTAGATGGGTGGGGAGGAAGAGAAGGTGGATTATGACCAATGATACAGCATGGCGTGGTGGTTTGCATGTTGGGACTATGACTCTGAATACTAAGGTTTGATTCCCAGCTCAGCCATGAAACCTGCTGGCTGACCTTGTACAAGTCACACTCTCTCAGCTTCAGGAGAAAGCAATGGCAAATCTTTTCTGAACAAATCTTCTCAAGAAAACCCCATGATAGACTTGTCTTACTGTTACCATAATTCAGAAACAACTTGAAGGCACACAACAACAATAAAAGTAGGAACTTGTAGCTCCCTTATTAGTTGGGCAGTGAATCCACACCAAGTTAATCCAAACATTAAAGCCTGAGTAGGCAACTATGAATGATCTGGGGGCACTTTTATGTCTCTGGGAGCCATGTGGGCTA